ACACGTTAAAGGCAAGTGAGCTTGGCCATAGGTAGAACTGAACAGCAACTGGCATAGGAATACTTGAAATAAGTTCACCCTATTTTGTTTAAGGTGATGAAGGACAGGTCGTAAAATTTTCCCGCAAGCATATGAGCACACCGTACGTTTCCATTGAATTTCACATAGCCTTGCTTTTACAAAAGGTATTCCCAACTTTGCAGGCGTGGAATGCAGATTAGACCTCGCCTGAATCGGCCGCCTCAGCAACTCCAGAGGGACTCATAATATCTCAGTGAAGCGTATAATCTCGACTCTGGATTAGAATACCTTTTATGGAAACAAGGCTGTGTGAAATTCAATGGAAACGTAAGACTTACTAATGTGATTGTGTGAAGACCTAGCTACCAGTCCCCTTACTATCTTAACCGAAATTTGGTGAACACATCTCAAATGTATGATTTAATGGTATTCTAGAAATCCTACTTACGACGAAAAGTAGGAAAGCATAGAAATGAATAGCAAGATTTTGTGGCCTCTAATTTGGTCGCAGTCTCTTTTCGATGTATGGTAGTGGTCGGACCTCGTTTTAGCAACTTCGTCGTGTTGAAATGGCGACTTAGTCAGACGCACCTTGTCCGAAATCCCCTGCCATAGTAGTTATCATAATTCCCAGCGCTGAACCACGGTGTTGATACATTGCCAGACATAGGAATCCTTAACGCAGACTGAATGCAGTCGCCGTATTTCCGTTATTTTACCTATCCTCTGCCTCAATCCCCATGTACATACGTTATTATAAAGCGGTGACGGTCTGTATCATGAGGAAGAGAAGTCCCGAATTTAAGTGGGCTTTCCTATCTCTTTTTGTTTTGCTCAGTAGAAAAATACAATTGAAAAACAAATGAAACCATACTGGCCTGCAGTAAATTAACTCATTCCTACAAACAAATGAATCGAAAAATCTTGGTCTCATGGCCGTAGTGGCAGCAATTTAGAGGGATTCCGAATGAGCCAAGACTGAGCTTTTCCTTCCTATATTGATTACCGAGAGGAATCGATATGAGCCCGAAAACGTTCCAACTCCATGCGATTGCTCCTTGCCCCTCTTTATGTATAAATGTCGTAGGCCACCAATTTCATACCTTTTATATCTTTCTCTAAATCAAAAAGTATACTGTCCCTTAATGCAGCCTCTGCTTCTTCTTCTTTAGCATTTTCTTCTTTTTCCTTACCGCCTCTCGTCTTCTAGTAAGTTAAGCAGGGCAGTAAACCTATTCTTCTCGGCCTTGCCTGATTTATTCACATAAATCTCCTCTTTCTTGGGCAAATCAAAGCCAGGATTGGTGCACTTTGAAGTCTTAGGGCTCAAAAGATCTGACCTGTTTGGCATCAGAAGCATAGGTGGCCTCATAGAAACGAGGTTGGGCGGCCGGCAGGTTTGGGGAAGCATATGACTGAACTTATTTCACAAGTGGTGCATACGAGTTGGTGTGTGAAGTGAGGAGTGTGTCTACTGGAAAGTAAAGAGCCCTGCGGCAGATGAGAGGCTGAGATTTGGTCGCCTCGATTAATGAGACCTCAAAGGTCATGTGAAAGCCTTACATGGGCGGCTTCAACCGTGGGCAAATGGGATTTTCCTAAACTCGTCTTTTTTAAAGCAAGATCTGGTCTAATCCGAAGCGTGGGCACGCTTTGCAACATTCTCAAACCTTTCGAGCTCGAGTCCAGCCAGCTGTACCTGCGAAAATGTGGCTGACGACTCTCTTGGATAGCAAGACCGGCCTAAGCAACCGAGTGCTGGATTTGTGCTAGCAATCTGGAGACCCGACTGGGCACTCGAGGCGCCCAGGCTTGTCTGAAGCGATGGAAGCTCTGAAGACAAACTGGCTTACGAAGAAGTAATTAGTGATATATTGTGATATGACTTTCAATTTCTAAAGGAAAGTTTGGTTGGAAGGAATTCGTGAAATAGTCTGATTGAAAACGAAGGAAGCTTGCCTCAAAGGAGTTAAGATTGTTGGAGTCTAAGAAGAAGCCCTTGGCTCACTATCTTATAACTCTGATGAACCTGTGCTAAGCTTTCGTCTGTACTATTGTGACAGGCATCATCGAAGCAAGAAACCATACTTTATGAAAATCCCAAAAACATACCAAACCAAGAGAAAGGTGGCCAACTGCATCTCTAGTCACTATTTATACACATTTCCTTGCGATCTTAATGAATAATCATATGAGTTGATTGATTAGTTCAAACTTATTATATATGCTTTCGGATGAATGAATTTAATTCTTAAACCGGAAGTTGACCTACTGAGTAAGTGGAGCATCAGAATAATTGCTATAGAAAACATAACACTTTCTTTAGTTAGGCCTTCTATTCGAGAATTTTTGGACCCTCTTTCCAAATCAAGCTGCTACAAGGGGTAATGCTCATTTGGTGATGTCTATGTGAAGAAAACCTGACGACCCCTTTATAAAAGATTATGCGAACATAAAACCGCTTATAAAGTATGTGGGTCCAGAAATCTGAACTCGCTAAACACATGGCTAATACAGAACTCCTGATAGACTGGTACAAAGCACAACTTTTTGCTCCTTATGCGAAGTCTATAGAAATTAACAAAACATCAAGAAGTTTCAATAGGAAGAACGAATGTAAGAAATTGACTTGGAATTATTTGTGGCCCCTGAATAGTCTTAAGAAGCGGGAGAAACAGGGAGAGCGAGGGGGGCAGGATAGCCGCTAAGTGGGCGAAGGAGGCTCGAACCAAGTTAGAACTATCACACCTCTCATGATATAAGTATTACATACACATAATAGACAAGTGTAAATCCAAAAATGAGTCGCTATTAGAGGATCGTAGGCTGGTTTGTGTAAAGAGAGAGCTACAACTCCATCCACTTCCTGTTCGTGAATTAACTACAATCATCTGCAAGCATAAAGAGCCAGTTTGAAGTGGCCAACCAAGACATGGGATTCCTCATTGAAAACGCAAGGAAAGGTGTATAAAAATTTGACGAGAGTTGCAGTCGGCCACCCTCCTCTTGGTTTTATATATTTTTGAGCTTGTCATAAAGTATTACTTCTTGCTCCGATGATGTCTGTAACGGCGATACACGCTAAAGCCTAGCACAGGTTCATCGGTTTCGCAAGACAGTAAGCCGAGGACTTCTTCATACAATCAAACGGTTTCCACTCCTCCGAGGCAATCCTCCTTCGTTTCCGGTGAAACTATTTCACGAATTCCTTTCATCTTACTTTTTATTTTAATTGGAAAGTCATGTTACATGATGGAAGGCCTTGTTAAGATTGGTCGAAATGAACTAAAGGCCCCACAACTCTACTGCATTTCACTCAATCATGCCACCCGAAAAAAGCGTTTCCTTCGCCAAACTACCATCTATCAATTCCTGCTCCTTAGGTCGCTTAGTATGATGAAAGCCTTATAGTTAAAGTTTCCGACAACGAGATAAGAAGGCCCCAAATTTCCTTTGGATTTAGCTTAGCTTAGCTTCCTAAAAGGTAGTATTATCCAGGGTGGACTTCAATTCCTACCTCGCCTGAGGCAGCGGGACTCGAACTCAGATAAATCAAGTGAACCTCTTCATCTCCCTGTAAACGTGCATATGGTTTGGTAAAACTTATCACTGACTGCCCTCCTGGCCTCTTCTTCCAATCCTTCATATCTCCATTGGGTGGGAAGAATCGTGCGAAACATATTCGGTACCGAACACACAAGATCCAAGATCTGATTAATTGCAATTGAAGGAAAATTCCTTATCTCTTGTTTAGACTGAG